GCATTCAGTCTTGTGAGGCGGCTCGTCTCACAACAGACTAAATATCCACCATCAGGATGCATGGGATCTCTCGGTTTCCTGCCCCCTTTATGAAGTAACCGCGGGTGAATTACATGCAGAAAGGGGAAAAGAATACAGATACCATTCTCTCCTCGCGATAATGGAGCGGCGACGCCCCGTCACTTCCGGCTGCCGACTGTACTCCACATGGGGGTTCTACTCGTTCAGCGCGGGGCTCGGCGCGCCGCCGCGGCTACAACGCGCACGCAAACATGATTACCGATTGATGCGCCGATCCGTTATTCAGAGGAGCATTCATTGTCTGTGCAGGTGACACGCGTGCGCGTGCGAGTGCACCCGGCGTACCCCACGCCCCGCTAGCCGGGCCCACGCCCCTCCCCGGCTACCCTCACCCCACCACCATTCTGTGCAAGATCCCCCCGCCAGCACTATACTGTGATGGCAGAGGCCGGCGCCGAAGGCCCCGGCATCGACGCCATCGACGTCCCCGATGACGACGCCCCGGAGAGTGCACCGGCTGCCCCGGAGCCGCGGGCCCATACCGCGGTGCGCACCGCTCTGCTTGCTGACAGGGAATTTTCCACAAATCTCACAATTAATTTTGCCATATATAGGAAAGGAGTAAGGGTTTTGAATTTTTTTTGAAAAATATACATCAGTGTTATATAAGCGGTAAATTGTCAAAGTATCGCCCTTTGGCCCAAAAATTTTGTCCGTTTAGCTCAATTTTGTACTGTTGAGGCGGTAGAAGGATATTTTGGACGAAAAACAGTGTAAGGCTTAAGTAAACCCCTAGTCACTGTGACGTCTAGGAAAAATTTCAAGTGCCATCCGACTTGTTGTGCGTGCGCAGGCCCTGGACGTCGTGGTGCACTACCTGCGGATGGTCTGCGCCTGGCCCGAGGGTCGCGGGCCGCTCGCGCGCGTGCTCGGTGAGTACTTCTTGCCGTACACCTTCGCCGCGTCGATCGTGCCGCCGCTGGTGTACTTCGGCCTGGGCGAGCACGACAACACCGTGGAGATCGTGGGCCTCCTGGCGGACGCGCTCGGCTCCAGTCTCTGCTGCTTCAAGATGA